TTAACACATGCTACCATTTGACTGGAGGCAAGAAGGCAAGGTGTTGGAGTTTATTCTCTCTTCCCACCATGTGGGTGCCAGGTGTCAAACTCAGACCATCAAATTTAGCAACAGGTGCCTTTACCTGCTGAGCCAATACTGTTGACCCAGGAATCTTAAATATGGAATGATGGTCTGTATCTCTTTCTAGCAAATCAATGTAATTTCTGACAATATGGTATAGGTCTCCTAAATTTATTAATAGAAATATATGTATCTTTCAAAGTTTTATAACAACTCAGGAAAATTTTCATCAAATTACAAAAAACCAAGAATTTTTGAGTAGAACCACAAGGATATTCCTTTATTGTGCTTGTCTGCAGAATCTGCTCAAATTAATACCCCTCTCTTTCATTCTTGAGTTAATAATTTTTGTCATCTTTCTCTTTCTGGTCAGTTTTGGTAAAATGTTATCAATATTAATTGATCTTTCCCAGCACAAACTTTGTTTTATGATTTTCTTCATTATCTCTGTTTCCAACATCACCACTTCTCTTTATTGTCTGCTTCATTCTGCTTGTTTTCTGTTTAGTTTGTTTTCCCTTTCTAGCTTCTTGTATAGAAATTTAGATATTGGCTTGAAATATTGACTTGGAACCTAGACATTGACTTGTTCTATAGTGGTCAATCAAATCCAGTTGGTGTTGGTCAGTTCTTACCTATCTCCCCTGCTTTCTAGCTACTTGTTCTTGTTTACTAGGAAAGTATTTCATCTCTACACCCTTGATTGTATATTTGCCTGAATGTTGTAATGAGAAATGTTTCAGACAGAACATAAAATTGGAGTTGTCTATATTTTAAATTGATGTGGGAGTGTCATATATCAATCTGTTGATTTCATTGGTTAATTAAATAAAGAAACTGCTTGCCCTGATAGGTTAAAGCATAGGTGGGAGGAGTAAACAGGAGAAAGAGGAAGTGAGGTAAGACTCCTCAGACAGACTCGACAGCTCTGCTCTCTGGAGCAGAGGCCCTGCTTCGCTCTCCTGGGCATACGCTATGAAGCTCCGACTCAGGATGGATGTAGGCTAGAATCTTCCCGGTAAGCGCACCTTGGGGTGCTTACACACATTATTAGAAATGGGCTAGTCCAGGTGCGAGAGTTAGCCGAGAAGAGGCTAGATATAATGGGCAAGCAGTGTTTAAAAGAATACAATTTGTGTGTTGTTATTTCGGGCATGAGCTAGCAGGCGGCCGGGGTGTTGGGGACGCAGCCCCGCTGCTCCCTATTTCAACAGATGGCACCCAACGTGGGGCAACTGAATCCACTGAAAGCCTGAGAAAGCTTGGGAAAGAGTAAAGCATGCATGTTTTCTTGGTAGCAACAATTTTTCGGGTCTACTCTGCTTGCTAGAGGCAAGCAAGCACTCTCATCTAAGAGAGGCTTCCTGACTCAGCTTTAGCTGCAAAACCCTGCAGCTCATTAAGAGGTCCTGCCACGAAACACTTAAACGGTGTTGACAAAAAGCTGAGCGCATGCTTTTCGGTTTTCAGCTGTAGCAGGAAAAAAGCTGTGCCGTTTAAAAATGCTGGCTTTCTGGGCTGTCCTGCCAGGGCAAACTCTGACTCTTTTATGCAGGCGGTTTGTGCAGTTTGCAAGCACAGGCTGCTGAAGCTCACTTGCTGACAGGGACCTTGAAACGCTATAGAATTGTGGCTATAAACATGGCTACAGCCTGTATCTCTGCCATGAGGCTGGAAAGCTAAGGAATGGACTGGATCTATCTGGCAAAGCCACGGCTTTAATCCTACTCATATTGCTCAGTAATTTAAAGGCTCATGTGTTCAGAAAAAGAGAGAGAGATACAGTAAACAGAGATCCAAAGACAAAAAAAAAATAACTTTAAATAATTTACAGTGTGTTAAAAATATATGCAAGCTAAAAGTTCTTAAAAGTAAAAATAAGGAAGAAAGAGAGTAGTTGGGTGTGGTAGTACACACCTTTAATCCCAACACTTGGGAAGCAGAGAGAGATTGACCTCTGTGACCTCAAGGTGTGGTAGCACACTCCTTTAATCCTGAATGCCTGGGAGGCAGAGACAAGCAGATCTATGAGAGTTCAAGGACAGCCTGGTCTACAGAGTTATTCCAGGACAAAGATAGAGAATATAAAATAAAAGTAAAAATAAACAAAATAGAGGTTAAAATAAAGTACACAAAGATGGAAAATACACAGAGAATATTGATACTGTATGCTATTATGCTCTCTTTGAATTGTTTGAATGCTGAGGAAGGAGCAACAGATGCTAAAAGATATTTGTTTATAAATGCTGCTAAACTAATCCAACATAGATATTCTAAAAATGCCTTGACTTTACAATTTTGATCTAAGGACATGATACTTTGGAAAGGAGTTTCTTTTTTTGTTTTCACAGAGGATGAGACCCTGTTCATTTCTTCTATTCCGATATGATGGACCACGCCCTCCTGAACAGCTGCTGTGAATACCTTTAGAAAATTGCTTCACTCAACTGCCAACTGAGATGAAACTAGCACACAGGTTATACCATGAAAGACCTAATTAACAACACCCCCATTCAGCAGAAAACAGTTTGGAGAGAAAAAACTGCGCCCATGTTCCCAAATATGGTTTATAAATGTTCTTTTACATTTAAAGGGGGATATGATATAGATATAAATAATTTGCATTAGTATAGATTTTGTTTTATTGATAGAGATTTAAGGTCAGTTTTGTTATATGTATATGCATATTTCTAATCTTGATTAAGGTATTGTGATTGTGTAGTTCACTTTTAAAATGTAATGTATAATTAAAAAATATAGGTTGCTAATGGATAATCATCAATAATAGTCAAGCTTGTAGTCATGTTAGTTAAGATTTTCTAGATGTACATAGATATATTGTAGATAGGCATTCTTCATGTTTTTCAAAGACTACGGAATATGTTATTAAATGTTTTAATAACTTAGGACTTTTCATGACAATGAGACACTCTGCTCCTGGCAGCACCAATCTACTTCAAGAGGAAGATGGGCATCGAAGAGGATCCTTATGGAGTTTGATAGCCATTTGGGCAAGAAACTGCTCTTGCCTGGACTATTGCATAAACTGGACACAGAGAACCCGCAGAGAGAGGACTGCTGAACTTGCCTAAAGGTGAGATGACCTTTTGGGGTTCCTGATTCATGAGAGAGTCTGCAAGACATTCTTCAGGACAAGCAGATAGTGACTGCCTTTGAAATTTCCTGCTTTGTGGAAATGTCTTCTGGAAACTATGGGCCTGTAGGCTGAAGATGAATGCCCCAACGGTACAGAGGAACTTTGGGTGACTGTCCAGGCAGCGAGATGTCTCTGTCCTTTCTAGAGTTTTGGATTTCTTGTTTGCTTAGGTAATAGTATATCTTTCTGGAGTCTTTGATGGAGTTAAAGAAGAGTTAGTTATAGTTATAGTTTTCCTTAGTTATGATATAGATTATTATAATTTTTACTTGATAACTGTTTTGTTATATGTAATTTTGCTCCGTTAAAGTTAAGTCCTTCTTTTTTTGTTTAAACAGAAAAAGGGGAAGTGATATGGCAGTGTCATATATCAATCTGTTGATTTCATTGGTTAATTAAATAAAGAAACTGCTTGCCTTGATAGGTTAAAACATAGGTGGGAGGAGTAAACAGGAGAAAGAGGAAGTGAGGTAAGACTCCTCAGACAGACTCGACAGCTCTGCTCTCTGGAGCAGAGGCCCTGCTTCGCTCTCCTGGGCATACGCGATGAAGCTCCGACTCAGGATGGATGTAGGCTAGAATCTTCCCGGTAAGCGCACCTTGGGGTGCTTACACACATTATTAGAAATGGGCTAGTCCAGGTGCGAGAGTTAGCCGAGAAGAGGCTAGATATAATGGGCAAGCAGTGTTTAAAAGAATACAATTTGTGTGTTGTTATTTCGGGCATGAGCTAGCAGGCGGCCGGGATGCTGGGGACGCAGCTCCGCCGCTCCTATTTCAACATTAAATAATCACTGTATTAGGTGGAACAGCTGTTTAAATGCAGACTGATTGGTTATGGCATTCAAGAAACAGGTCCATTTCATGTAAGGTACAACTAATTAGAGATTGAAGACTAAGTAACATGTCAATAAACATGCTAAAACAGTTTAGAGATAGGAGAGATAGGGGATAGTTTTATAGGACTAATGAATTTTATACCTATCACTGCTGACATAATATAGTAATAGATTCAGGTATGGGATTGCTTTCTCTGATCTTCCCATAGGTACAAGTATTCTTGGAACAACAAACCTGTTCTTTCTATAGATAGCTTTTCTATCAAATCACCTTGGGTTTTTTTTTTTGGTATGTTTGAGTCCCAGTTAGCCTCAGAAAGCAGTATTTCCCATTTAGTTCTTTATAATTAAAATGCTTCATTAAGACTTTGAAGTCTACATGATTTTTTGTTTGCTACACTAATTCTTTTTTCTAAAAAAGTAAATTATTTTAACTATTCAGTAATTGAACAGCTCCAAAATTTTCACCATTAGCAAAAATATTACACTGTATTCTCTAATTCTACTTTCTAAGTATTTTTTAATATTGGTCATTAAATTTTTCTTTGAAAGTTCTAATAAATTTATTGTACATTTCCTAAGATAACGATCTTTAGTCTGTATAACTTATACACTAAAAATATCTTTTGAAAATGTCAGACCTTGAAATTGATAAGAGAAGTGACAATGAGAAAGAAGTTCAGAAGGTAAATAGTGCTGCTCTTAGAGAGAAGAGAAGAAACAAGTTTTGTTTTTATTTTTTTGGAAAATATCTCTAAATAATTGGGCATTAAACAGACCCAAACAGTTTTTTTCTCATAGTCAATTGTAAAAATCAGTTTAAAAAAAAAAGCAAAACCAAAACTAATTTTAAAAAGCAGGTTAACAAGTAGGATGACAAACCTGACTTCCCCATATGTTCAGTATTTAATAAGGAAAGTTAAACTCTTAACGCTACTTACTTTATTTGGGCAGTTTTTGCTCAGCATAAGTGGGAATATTCGTTGTTGTAAGTATAATCCTTTTGATTTAGATCTGCTGCTACCATCACAGCCATACATGAAAATATTCTGTTTCTTACTATGGCCATGAAGATCACAATATAAAATAACTTCTCGTTTCTCCATTAACCTATTGTAAAGAAAAGGAGCAAGTCACTAATTTTTAACTCTGAATCTTCTTCTACAGGTAATATAGATTTACATATATAATAAACAAATAAAATTTAAAATATATCATTTTTTGACTTTTTATGCTCTAGTTTTCCATGATAACAGCAAATTTCTCCCACTCCTAAGACTCCTAGCAGATCTCTCTGCTTCGTCCTTTGGTTTTCTGTTGTCCACAGAAGACAGATCTCCCCTCCTTTGCCCACTACCTTTCCAAACGCTCTACTGGGCTAGAGAGTCTTCTCCTTCATCTTGTAGTGTTCTCAGCCTTCAGAACAGTCTCACCCATTCCTACCCAGCCAGTCCAGTCAGAACTAAGGTGGTTCTGGAACTTGGCAACACCTTACTCATACCATTTCCTTGTCACCTGTCTAGCAAATTTTCATGTTGGATATTTAAGCTTGTTAGAGATGGGGAATGTTTAAAATCATCTACAACAGTGCTATGCACACAAGCACCAAATATTTGTTAAAAATTGAATGCCTCAGAATTTGGTTCTGGAAACAATGAGAAGTTAGCCTCTGAGAATACCATTCTGAGAAAAAATGACACTCAATTTTAAACAGAGTTTTTTTTCCAATAAAACTCTAAAAAATACTTAAAAGAAATTATCAAATTAAAAGAAATTATCTGAAGAGGACAACCCATCACCTGCATAATTTAGCACTCAGTTTTTTTAATTAGAAAAGCAGGCTTCTCAGATGGATGCTGAAGAGTACTGGAGAAGAGCTTTTAAAAATGGTGCCGTGGTGTTAGTAGTATGAGCATTTTTGTCTCTTCTGTCCTGTTTTCAGGCTTTATATGGCATTTCTACATCACTTAATTAAAATTGCATGTGTCATTTGCTATATCTCTATAGTTAGAAGGGTAAAAACTAAAATATTAACAACGGTATTACAAGTATATATTTATAAAAAAATCAAACATCACTTTTATTTAAAACAATGGTTATAAAATTTAAAACTGAAATTTTATGTGTATTAATTTACTGATTTTATTTGATAAAATCCACTTAACACAAAGGAATCAACACATTTTTTACAAGTTCTTAGAAAACTAGATTTTAAAGCATGACCACTAAATATGAAACATGCCATCCATTTTAAGATCCAATATTCAGAGGATTGGTGATATTTCAACTTCCCACAAGAGCATCATTAGAAAGTTCTAGGAATTAATTACATCTATGTAATTAATATTACCTCTGAGGTAAAGTGAGATATTAATATTTCTTCCCTTGCATTAATTAATGTAAGTTGGTATTTTCTTTTTGTTCACTAGTAATTATTCTAAATATTTTATATTAAGTATCCTAAGAGTTTCCTCTTATGTGAACATGTTTTAAGTATACTTAATTTGTGTATACTGACATCCTGTCACCTTCCTATACCTAGCTGCCTGCCTTCTTGTTTTTCTTACCTGCTCTTGAGTAATAGAATTAAAGGTATTTCCCTTTCTTAAAATTCTTTCAGAAATTGTTGAATTGGTTCCTGCCTTAACCTCTTTACAAGGCAAACTGAGGACTGAGACATTTAAATTAGCTTCCATAGAGACAAGTCAAGCTATATTGGCTTGTAATCCATCACATGTCAGGCCAGGAACTCTTAAAGTCAAAGATCATTAAATAGACATCACAGATAACGTAATAGGCATTCCATCAGCTACCTTCATATGTATGTATGTGTGTAAATAAGCTATATAAAAAAAGGAAATCATATATGTTTCATTTTTAAAATAACAAGAATGACACAAAAGCTAGAAAAGCAGTGCTCTAGTCTACTTCTTTTGTAGCTTCTCTTTTGGTTAGTGTATTGTATAACTCTGTTATGCTCTCAGAAACAAAGAAATCAATCTTGGCACATTACTAACATTAACTAAGCTCCCAACTTTATTTAGATTTCATTAGTTTTTCCACTAATATCCTTAACTCTCTGCCAGATTCCTGGGCACATTACATGTATTCAGTTCTTTTTACTTTTCACATACCCAAAGGATGCTCAATTGTACCACAAGGACATGTGCTTAACTATGTTTATAGCAGCATTTTTTTTTGTCATAGCCAGAACCTCAAAACAACCTAAATGCTCCTCAACTGAAGAATGGATAAGGAAATGTGGTACATCTACACAATGGAGTACTACACAGCAGAAAAAAACGACATCTTGAAATTTAGAGGCAAATGAATATAGCTAGAAAACATCATATTGAGTGAGCTAACCCAGACCCAGAAAGACAAATATCATATGTTCTCATTCATAGGTTGCTTTTAGACATAAAGGAAAAAACAAAAACAACAACAAAACGGCCTACAATTCACAATCCTAGAGAACCTAGACAACAAAGAGTACCCTAAGAGAGACATACATAGATCTAATACATGGGATGTAGGAAAAGACAAGATCTTCTAAGTAAATTGGGAGCATGGGTACATACCATGGAAGAGGATAGGAGGGGAGGGGAGAGGAAGGGAAAGGAGTGGAGAAAAATACATAGCTCAATAAAAACAATGAAAAAGGAAAAAAATTTAAAAATGACAAAAAATTAAAAAAATAATCTTACAGTTCCTTTAGATGGATGCCTTGCTCAGCTTAGATATAGTAGGAAGAGCCTTGGACCTTCCCCCAAAGCAGTGTGCCTTACCCTCTCTGTAGAGTGTGTGTGTGTGGGGGGTAGGTGGAGAGAATGAGAGGAGGGGAGGGACTGGGATTGGTATGTAAAGTGAAAAAAAGATCATTTTCTTTAAAAAATAAAAAATAAGTTATATAAAAAAGGGAAATCACAGTTTACTCTAAGTAAGTCTAAGGACTCACTCAGCACTGTATGACTGGCATAATTTCAGAAAGCTTTGGTCTGTAGTTAATATTCACACATAGATGATTAAAAAAAACACAGTGTAACCATCAAGGCTACGGTAGTCATCAAGGTTACTATAAGTTTTAGGAAGAAATCAAATTTGTGATATGCAAACTTCACAGTTTCTCAAAGCCAGTGAAATATCTGGAGCCTGTTTTCTCATTCAAGAAAGAGCTTGTTCACAGTGCCAGAAAGGTGTGTGATCAGAACTGGAAAGGAAGAAAATCGCTTATGAACTATCTTAAGAAAAGTTAGAGGTTTTTTCTTTGCTTTATGTCTAGAAGCCACTTATGAGTGGGAACATATTATATTGTCTTTCTGGGTTTAGGTTATCAACCTACAGTCCACAACCCCAGACAACCTAGACAACAAAGAGAACCCTAAGAGAGACATACATGGAGCTACATAAGAGGGAGAAAAAGACAACGTCTCGTGAGTAAACTGGGAGTGTGGGGGTCACGGAAGAGAGCATAAGGGGAGGGGGAGGAAAGAAGGAAAACAGAGAAAAATGTATAGCACAATAAAAACAGTAAAAGAAAAGTTAGAGTAAAAGAAATGAATGAAATTGTATGAGCAAAGTTTTGATTCCCAAATTTACTGATTAAGCAGAGATGCAATTTAAAGATTATTTTACCTATGGATCATGTTCCTTGTATACCAAACAGAAGGGTAAGATTCCTTTAGGAGAGATGTATAGTTACGGTTTAAATCCCGTCCAGCTAAGGAACAGCGGTAATTTCCCACGATCACACCATCTGGATTCAGCATGGGTACCACCTTGAAGATGAAAGTGTCCCGAAGCAACCGTGCATCACTCGAGTCTCCTAAAATATAATCTAGGAAGCCTTTCATGATCCAAGAGCTGTTGGTCTCTCCTGGGTGAACCCTTGCAGTCAAAATCACAGCCTTGCGCTTTCTTGAGTCACTGTTCTTCAAGGGAGTAGTGATTGTCAAGACATACACCATATTCCTAGCAAGTGTGTGGCACAAGACACGTATTTTACAAAACTTTGATCTTACTGGGTCACTGTTGATGCCAGAAAGGTATTCTTGAAGGTTGGTGTAAGTGTATGGATAGCAGTGAGCAAAGTAGCAAGTATCCTTGCTGTGTGGAAACTGAAATGTCCATGTAAGAGAAAAAAAGTGGCGCCCATCTTGTCCAAGGTTGTTTTTATAATACTTGATTTGGTCTCCTATTCTCTGCCAGCCAATTTTATGGATTTTGGCCTCTTTTTCAGAATAGAAGAGTGGCTTCATACCCCGATTGTAAAGACTAGAAGGCTTGGTGAAGTTGACAATAGTGAATCTGTAGGCTATTTCTGCTTGGGTGTTAGTGACCTGGAAATAGTACCACTGAGTATGCTTATTTGTGAAGAGGTCTGGGCGCACAGTCAACTGATATTCATAATCTGCCCTAATACACAAAAAGGAAGGAAAAACGCACATAAGTATGACATTTCAGTTTAAGCTATATTAGAAAAATAATCTTATCTTTATCTATTTTATATAGTCATGGATAGTTCTTTTGGGAAGAAACAACATATACGTAGAATTTGATAGCAAACAACCACAAAAATTAAGTTCTGAAAGTTTTATTTCATGAGTAATTGATATTTAAATATGCAGCCTTTGTATTCCTTTGTAAATGCAGAAACCCAATAAAATTTTGTATGTTTCAATACAATTATTTCCTATAAAAATAGGTAAAGAGTTATTGAAACTGAAGAAAAAAGTCACTGTTTGATTTTTTCCCCTTCAAGCATTTATTTTCTAATAATTCCAGTTCTAGGAGAATAAAGTAGCTATCATTGAGAATGGTTTGAAAGTACATGTAAAGTAACAGTCACATAGGTTTCAAAATTTGAACTCTCAGAAAAAAGTCTGATAACTATCTGTACCCACACTCAGGCGCTGAAGATTCTTAATGAAGACAGACATGTTTACTCTAAGATTTACCAATCTTTTCTAATTGTGATTTTCCTTATCAAACAACTTTGTATTAATGTTCATATACGTAGTATTATAAATGCTGAGCTAGGAGTGGGTTCAATAAATATAAACCTTTAATACCCTAATTAGCATCTGTACTTCAGGAATTACAGTTAAGTAATGAGGACTAAGAACTTTAATATACCTAATCCAAAAAAAAAACTAGTAAGTAGCTAATGGCCTACTTCCTCTAATAAAAACAATTAAAACCTACACTTTGACTACCTTCTGTAGATTACCACTCTCAAACCTTGCTTCAAACACCAAAGTGTTGTCACAGTTATCCACGGGCTGTTTCAAGGACGTCCGGTTACCCCCAACGCGGGAATACACAAAACAGGGCTCTTTGTAAGCTGATGAGAGAAGACGGAAATCAGCGACAGTAAGATATCCAGATAATCTCATAGTTAGCATGTTTCTACATAATCCACAGCAAGCCAAGCATCACAGGCATATGCCACAACATTCTGAGCAGAATGACAAGTCAGACACTGCATCGACACTTGTGGGCTGGAGCGAAAGCTGTACTTAGGGAAAAGCTTACAGCTTTAAATAAGTTCTATACACCAGGAAGACTTAAATCAGAGGATACATTCTGGATTATGCGTAGGACACAGGACACTGGGAAGTGCATTGTTTCAGTCCTGCAGCAGAAAAGCCTACTACTGTGAGTGAGAAAATATGCAACTCTTTTGAGCTACTGAAAATTCTATTACCTACGGTTGCAGGACAAATGTCCAAATCAGAATCTAAGGAGAAAGGGTCATGAGTACTGGCGTACTTGGTATAGACCACAGCAAGGTTCATTTTAAAACAATCAGGGCTGACCAGATGGTTCCGTGCTTAAGGGGCACCCTGTTCTTTCAGAGAGCCTGAGTTTGGTTATCAGCACTCAGACTCAGTGGGTGGCTCATTACTGCCTGTAACTCCAGCTTCAAGGGACCCAATGCTTGTGGCCTGCACTAGCATCTGCATTTGTGCGCATACTCACACAAGCGACATGTAATTTAACAATAAGTCTTTTTAAAAATTATAACCAGTCATCAAAAGGTTGAGTGTGGACTAGAAAGAGAAAGCAGATTCTCTGAGAGGGTATGAGGGGCATATGGGTATAAGGGAATTTTGTCCCTGCAATAGTTCTTCTCATGGACATAACCTGATATTCACAAAAACATTTCCAAGAAAGCATTATTGACAATGCACAAAACCCTAACTAGATCAGTTCTCCCTCTTCTTTATGTAACAAAGCCTTAAATTCTTATGAAGTAAGGACAACAACCACTGTCATCTTTAGGGTACTAGTGTTCATATACATTATCTGGGAAAAGAAAACTGTTTTCAAAATCCCAAATCCTTTACTACTCGCAGAAAGGTGGAATTGCAGGATGGAACCGTGTTTTGTTGCTGACACTGGCACACTGCAAAGACCTCACGTCTGAGAACTAGGGACAAGGTGTGCGACTAAGAACTCTGTGGTTCTGATTAAACAGTTCCCTCAAACAGTCTAAGAGGCCATGAGTGAAAAATAACAAGGATTTATGAATTGGAGAACACAGAGTTCAGAAAGCATTTCTCTGCAGTGCAGCATAAAGGAAGAATGGTCCAGAACTGAGAAGGTTCTTCTGCATCATCCTAAATGGTGATAGAGGAATCTGAATTCTGTGGTGCTGTAACAGTAAGAAGACCAAGAATAAATCTAACACTAACTGAATTCCCATACTGACCAAATTAATACCTCCCCCAATCTCATAATATACATTTAAAGACTTAGACCCAGGATTTTTTTTTTCAGTTTTTTTTTTCACACATAAAAAAATTTTGATTTTCTTTACCACCTAGATAAGCTCCTCAGCTACCAACCAGCGGGTTTCAATACATATGTTTATGCATGCACATACACAGAGACAATCCCACAGACATGGGTCAAGAGGGAAAACTACATAACCAGGTTAGTATAATGAAGATGTGAGTCTATCAGGTAAAACATTCAGAAGGCGAAAGGTAAGTCAAAGGGCCAAGTGTAAAAGAATATGCAAGATCAGATGGAAATGTAAGAAAGCATCAAATCGAAAATGACAAATGAAAAGAGGTAACAAAAACTGAAACTACCCCTGAGGAGCTCATCAGGAGACTTTACAGAGCAAGGGGGGATACTCAATAAACATGAGGATGGTGAGCAAACACATAAACTCAAGCAGGAGTTTCTAAAAACAAAAGTAACACAAAACATACAAAATAAGACTGCCGGATCCAAGAACTGTTGCTATCAAATAAGCTAACATATTCAGACTGAAATCCTAGGAGAAGAAAAGTGTGAAGAGATAATACCTGAGATTTTGACATTAGTCACTGGCAAGAAACCAAAGTTACAAAAAACTCAAGGAACAACAAACATATCTATGTAGGAATAAAGATTAAAAGTCTCAGAGGTTATAAATTTGGAACATTTTTCAAGTGCTGTAAGATAAAATTTGTCAAATAGACAATATTTTTTTCTGAGACAGAATTAATTTGCATTACAAGAAATAAGTAAAGTTTTTCCAGGCAGAAGTGTTATTAGACAGAAACTTGGATCTGTACAATAAATAAGTAAATAAATAGATAAATAAATATGTTTGATGGCCAGGGAGCTAGAAAGCTCAGTCAGTACAATGTCTGCTGAGTAACCACGGGAACCTGAGCTCAACTTCCAGTACCACATTTGTAAAAGTCAGGTGCAGTAGCAGAGCCTCTAATCCAAGTTCTAGGGATCCCTGAAGCCTGCTGGGTCAGCCAAACTAGCCTAGTCAGCGAATTCCAGGTTAATGAAACACCTGCTGCAAAACCCAAGGTGGACAGCATCTGAGGATGACACACAGGTTTACTTCTGGCTTCCACACACATGCATGTGCTCATATAGATGTGCATGAATGCACACACAAACATACAAAAGAAATTAGTACTAGAAATTAAAAGTAAAGAGTCATTTTTCTTTTTTAAAATTATCTACAAGATTACTAATGAAGGGAGCAGCAAGGAGATCCGGTCCAGGCACCAGGAGAGACATCACTGGGGTGAGTGAGTTTCTGACCGCGGCAGCAGCCCGGGACAGGGAACTCAGACACCTCTCCTACACTTCCTGGTCATCCTCAGGGGCGACTCTGCCCAATACCCCCTCTCTCTTCCTATCCTACCCAGCTTGCATCCACATCCCTCCCCCACCTCCGTCTGACTACCTTCCCTCGTTGACCACATAACATCTCCCAGCCCAGCCTGTCCGGGCTCTAGGACCGAATCCGAATCGGCAGGGCAAACGGGAGGGTGCTAGCTCCTTTGTCCCCGCTAGCCTGCCTGCAGCGAGCTAGGTAGGTCCTTTGATTACAAGTCACCCAAGCAGCAAGGAGATCCGAACCCCGCACCAGGAGAGACATCAGGCTTGCATCCACAACCAACCCAGAGCGGTCCTGAGGAGTTCCATCTGGACGGTAGTCCATGTTTGGGTGCTGGGGAGTTCCAGCTCAACGGGACGGTCCCTGCTTCTACACTGAAAAGATACACCCAGAGACTCATTCACAGCAAAGTCTGGACCAAGACACCAGGCCTCTCCTGGCTCCATTTGAAGGAGGAGATGGGAAGGCGCCAATGCAAGACTTCCTCCAACAACCTGAAAGGCAACATGACTTCACCAGAATCAAGGGATCCCGAAATAAGAAGAATTGTACACCCTACTCCAGAAGAATTAGAAGAAATCGACTCAAAAGTGAATTATATGAAAATAATAGAAGACCTTAAGCAGGAGGTGAAAAACTGCCATAAACAATTAGAGATTACAAACAAAAAGGTAGAGGAAATGAATAAATCGCTTAAAGATACCCAAGAAAATCAAGAGAAACATGAAAAAGCAATCAGACAGGTACGGGAAGCAGTTCAAGACTTGAAGAATGAAATGGAAGTAATGAAGAAAACACAAACCGAGGGAAGATTGGAGATGGAAAATCTGGGTAAACGAACAGGAACTACAGAGACAAGTACTACCAACAGAATACAAGAGATAGAAGAAAGAATATCAGATACTGAAGATACCATAGAGAAAATAAACACACTGATCAAAGAAAACAGCAAAACCAACAAATTCTCATCACAAAACATTCAGGAAATATGGGACACAATAAAAAGACCAAACCTAAGAATAATTGGAGTAGAAGAAGGAGAAGAGGTGCAACTCAACGGCCCAGAAAATATATTTAATAAAATTATAGAAGAAAACTTTCCCAACCTAAAGAAAGATGTACCTATGAAGGTTCAAGAAGCATACAGAACACCGAATAGGCTGGAAAAAAAAAAAAAAAAAAAACATCCCCTCGCCATATAATAATCAAAACACAAAACATACAGAATAAAGAAAGAATATTAAGAGCCGCAAAGGAAAAAGGCCAAGTTACTTACAAAGGTAAACCTATCAGACTTACACCTGACTTCTCTATGGAAACCATGAAAGCCAGAAGGTCCTGGATAGATGTACTGCAAAAACTAAGAGACCATGGATGCAAGCCCAGACTACTATACCCAGCCAAGCTTTCATTCACCATAAATGGAGAAAACAAAATTTTCCAGGATAAAAACAAATTTAAACAATACGTAGCCACAAACCCAGCCTTACAGAAAGTAATAGAAGGAAAATCTCTAACCAAGGAGTCCAACAATGACCACAATAACTCAGACATCTAGAGACCCGTCACCAGCGCAACTCAAAGAAGGGACGCACACGAACTCTACTACTAAAGAAGTGACCGGAGTTAACATCCCCTGGTCATTAATATCACTTAATGTCAATGGGCTCAACTCACCTATAAAAAGGCACAGGCTAAGAGATTGGATACGAAATCAGGATCCAACATTCTGCTGTTTACAAGAAACACACCTCAAACACAGAGACAGGCACCTACTCAGAGTAAAGGGCTGGGAAAAGGCTTATCAAGCAAATGGACCTAAGAAACAAGCAGGTGTGGCCATACTAATTTCTAACAAACTTGACTTCAAACTTAAATCAATCAGAAGAGATGGAGAGGGACATTTTATACTCATAACAGGATCAATTCATCAAGAGGAAGTCTCAATCCTGAATATCTACGCCCCTAATATAAAAGCACCCACATACGTAAAAGAAACATTACTAAAACTCAAGGCAGCCATCAAACCGCACACACTAATAGTGGGAGACTTCAACACTCCTCTCTCACCAATGGACAGGTCAATCAGACAGAAACCTAACAGAGAACTAAGAGAATTAATGGAGGTAATGAATCAATTGGACTTGACAGACATCTATAGAATATTCCACCCAAATCGGAAAGAATATACCTTCTTCTCTGCA